ATACAATTTCGACACTGATCTGGAGAACATGCAAATGAAAGTGAGACAAATACACTATCTAGATCGTTACTTATATTGGTTAGGTCAGCCATTGGTATTTATATAAAAGGTACCCAAGTATGTGAATATTTAGTGAGTGTTGAAGTCTACCATTAATTGTGCGGTGTAATTTGTGTAATAGGTTTATAATAGCATTGTGAGGGTATGTTCGTATCGCGTAAAAACGATTATAAATAGGTGTTGCAATACAAGTATTCGGGTGTGTTAAAACTATGTGAAACTTTATTAAATCATATTAGCAAGTTAAAGTTATGCGATATCTGTAGTTAGTGAGTTTTAATAATAAATATTCTTTTTGAAATTTTATAATTATATATATATTTAGAATTATAATATAAAATGGGCATAGTGAAAAAACTGTGAATAGTAGGGTGTAACGTATAGTTATAATCTTACAGTTGAGGTAATTTACATTTAGAATTAAAATATAAATAAACAGAAGTAGGCTTATCGTATCAAAATAGAAACATGAATGAAAACCACAATGAAACAGTATTAAATGATAGTGGCAATTTAAGATTATCCGTTTTTTGTTATGGTTACGATTTAAAATATAAGTTAATTGTAATAAATATAACCTCGCTAAACAGAAATAGAAAAGAAAACAACAATTACAACAAAACAACAATTTTCTTGAACCATGTTGCCTACTCTACGGGTCTTGCAAAGAAACAACCAAGCTACTTGAAAAGCCTCAAATATTTTAAAATTGACTCACTAGAAAAACGCAGGAACTCATCTGATTTATTATTTTTATTTAAATTACTACACAACAATATTGATTGCCCAGATTTACTTTCAAAATTTAAATTCAATATACCTCACAAATATCCCCGAAAACCAAGGATGCTCCTACATCCTCCTTTGCAAAAGTCGGTTTTAGGTTCCAACTCGCCTGTTTCACGGCTAAGCAAGAAATACAATTAAATCAGTAATCAGATAGATATTTTTGGCACAAAATTTCAACGATTTAAGAACCGAGTCCACAACCTTACTGTCGATTAGCTATGTACTAATTGTTGTTCTATTTGGAGATAGTACCTATCTGTAATATTATGTTATAGGTTCTACAACCTTTTATTTTTCTACTTTTTTCACAACCCTTGTTAATAGGTAGTAATTTTTTTTCTTTTTTTTTAAAGCAATATTAAATTAAATGCATGCGGTGTTTACCTACATAAGTTATGCACTTAGATTAAGGTCAATACTATGTTCTATTTTTTACGAATGTTTTTGTGTAATGATTACTGGTAAACCAATAAATAAATAAATAAAAAATAAAAAAAAAATGAAATGGACCTATAGTGGCCAGTTAATGTTATGCGTTTTTTGTTAGGTCTAGAAGAGTTTGTCAGGTTCACAAAGCGCATCACTCTCGGCTGCGTATTTCCTTTTCGAAAGCTAATAAGCTTACCGATGAGTATCCTAGTCCCAGCAATACGACGTTTAATTCTATAATGCCAAGCTTATTTAGGTCAAGTAGTAGTGACATTGTCAGTTATATTAACACTGGCTACTCGACAAATTGCAATAGTCGCACAGTATAGTAAAGAATGTGTATCACTAAAATTATCATTGTTCTTATTAAAATAAATCAGTTTGACCATAGGCCTCATAATAGGTCCATTGTAAAACAAAAAATACTGATTAGAAAACTGACCTTACAGAAGACCGAGAAACGTACCCCAACTGGTTGGACATTACAGTTGAACCACGACCCCGAAACAACTATAACCGTTGACCTAGCTCTTTTTTCATAGTAAATAAAATTTTTAGAGTTACCGTTGTGAAAATGTTCAGTTATTACTTTATGTTAAATTTTTGCGAACTTGTCGATTCCATTCACAACAAAACCTGAAATATGCGTTATTACTTGTATTTTTACTTAGTTATTATCAACGACGGGTAACAGACGTCCTTGTTATAAAGTACGCAAATGATGATGTGAAATAATGTACTTTTCACACAAAACATGACCGACTCGTCAAAGTTCCCGTATTGACATTATAACCTTTTTTATTTTATTACCATACCACCTGTCGGTGGCATATCGGACTCGAACCGACTAAAACCGCACGCCGTCTCAGGTACTAATAGCCAGGGAACCAGGTATACCCTAGAAAGGAAGTCCCTGGTGAGGAAAGGAAGTCCCTGGTGCGACATTATACCCTGTGTCAGACCACTTATGCTGGCATTACCCAGATTACGAAACAACTTAAACTAAATCCTCCGAAAACTCTTGTAATAAACAACAGTTCTGGTTTGGGCTCACATTGGTAAATTCATTACATGTCTATCTGCAAGTCATTACATGTGTTCTCTCTAGGACAAATATAAACAAACACAAACAGAGATACTCTAATTACAGTAAAGGAAAAAAAAAACAATATAAACAATAATGTGTGCAACAAACGAGGTACGAGTTGCATAGAGCCAATTAAAGTGAAGGCATAGAATATTCAAATCCGAACACAGCAGTTCAATATTTATTTTTGTATAAACTTGATATTCACTATAATCAGTTTTACCCAAATTAAAAAACGTTTCAAATATGACTATCTACCCGAATATAATCAATAATAACTTTCATCATCATCCTCATTATCAACAGCCTTTAATAGTCTACTGCTGGACATAAGCCTCTCATTAGAAAGGAGGTTTTGGCCTACTATACCACGCTGGCTAGACGGGTTGGTATAGGGTTTGTGTCAAGTTTGAGGGCCTTTTCCCGCAACGAGCGGAACACACTCCCCCGGCGATGGCCTCCTTGGCCGGAGACGACGGGGAGCACGAGGAGGATGATGTTCCGCCCGTCCGGGATTCGGAGGTAAGGGCGGCTGTTCTACGGATCCGTTCCAAGAACACTGCCCCTGGGCCAGACGGGGTACCGGCCCGAGTGCTGGCCCTAGCCCTCAACCACATGGCAGACCGCCTCGGGGAGGTGTTCGACGCTAGCTTGGCGTCGGGACGTTTCCCTGAGTGCTGGAAGAGCGGGAAGCTGGTCCTATTAAGGAAGCCGGGATGGCCTACCGATTCGGTCGCGGCCTACAGGCCCATCGTGCTGCTGGACGAGGCGGGTAAATTGTTTGAGAGGGATCTCTCTGCCCGCATCGTCCGGCACCTATACGAGGTGGGCCCCGATCTGTCGGACGCCCAATTTGGTTTTCGGGCGGGGCGTTCGACAGTCGACGCTGTTTTGCGCCTGAGGGCCGTGACCGAAGAGGCCGTGAGCTGTGGCGGCGTGCCGTTGGCGGTGTCATTGGACATCGCCAACGCATTCAATAGTCTGCCATTCAGATGCATCAGGGAAGCACTCCACTATCATGGGGTGCCAAAGTACCTGAGGCGGCTAGTGGCAGACTATTTAGAGGAGTGTACCGTCTTGTACGAGGACCGAGATGGTAATTCGAAGTGTCGGCCCATGTCGTGCGGTGTTCCACAGGGGTCTGTTCTTGGACCCCTCTTGTGGAACATAGGGTACGACTGGGCCCTCCGAGCCGCAACAGGAGCGGGCCGGCGCTAGGAGGGGTCCGGATGTCTTAATAACAGCTGTTCCCGGATCCCTCCTATTACAGGCGCAGAGTGGCACACCGTGTGGTTTTAGTCGGTCCGAGTCCGACACACCACCCCGCCGCAAACCCCGGTGGGGTGACGGTCCGAGGGAATTTCCACACGTAAAAAAATGTTTGTGTCAAGTTTTCCTTTTTTCTGCAGTGCTGTTGTTCTGCCTAGTTTTCTAATAATAACTTTGACACCATTTTTTTTTTCTCTTGTAAGGGCGTTTGTCCACCGCCGCCGTCACCGGGCCGTCGCCGAGAACGAGATTATTTCGGGCCGAGTTTAATATGACGTGACGGCGATCGTTTGTCCACCGCGACCGATTTCGCTGATTTAGTTTGTTCCAACTGTCATGCGTGGTAGTCCCGTTTCCGAAGAAATAAAGTGATGGGAAGGTTAAACCGGCGACAACTTCGTCTCCTGCTTTTGTACCTTCGAAGGCGCAGGCGATGCAAAGAATTTTGGGTTCATCCGCTAATACGTGAACGATACATCACAGGGGCGTTTTATGTATACCACGCCAAGTTGCGGCAGCATGACGAGAAGTTTTTTAACTACTATAGGATGTCCACGACTACGTTCGATTATATCCTATATCATATTAAGGATAGCATCATACTCCAAAACACGAACTACAGGACATGCATACCCCCAACTGGAATGTTAGCTGTAACGTTGAGGTACGTAGTAAAATACTACTCCATCACCGCAACTAGAAGACGCATGTTAGTGTAGGGAAGGTCTGTACAGTTGGTAATGTCAGTCTGCGTCACTAACTCAACATGCGTCTTCTACTTGCGGCGATGTGTAGGAAGTAATACTTTTGTATTTTAATATATTTCTTTCTTTTTCTTTCTTTTTAAAAAAGACAACGCCCGCATTAGGAATACATTCCTGTGTCGCGGGGGACTTTACAAACATACATGAAACGGACACAAAGAACACCCAGACTTAGAACAACAATTTGTGGATCACACAAAATGTTGTCCCATGTGGGGTTTGAACCCACAACACTCGGCGCAGTAGGAAGCGGCGTGGCGACCGCTTAAACCACTACGCCATCCGTGCAGTCGTTTATTTGAATAATAGTATGAATGACAGGTAGTCACCTTATATGATAGTATGAATAACAGGGTCCAATTTTATAAAGCTACAAGTTACAATTCTACAATTAAATTGACATTAATGACGCAGTCTCGACCAATCACGAATGCGGATTCCGTCAATGTTGCCAGTAATTTACCTGTAGCCTGTAACTAGTAGTTTTATAAAATAGGGCCCAGGTAGTTAGATTAAACTTACACACCTACATTTCAGGAAAATCTTGAGAAAATAATTCTGCAATAAATTATATTTATTGCTGAGGTGTGAACTGCTGGGTTTCATGCTGGGGTGAAATCAGTTGGTTTCCTTGCTGAGGTGTGAACTGCTGGGTTTCCTGCTGGAGTGAAATCAGTTGGTGGAAGCCACTCGTTCATGACAGCACTTGCTGAAACAATAATAATTTACAATTAAGTTTTATTACAGATATCTCGCGAGTGGAAATACCTTCACCGATATGTCATATACCTTCCAACTGGGTATCAAGACTATAAGCAGAATAGTGACACAAGTACGTCACCAAATATTATATATTATTTTAAGTGGTGAACACTTAACTGCGCCTACTACTGAGCGATGGTTATCAATAGCGGAAGGATTTAAACGAAGAGCTAATTTCCCAAACTGCATCGGTTGTGTCGATGGAAAACACATACGGATTGTAAAATTTCCGAAATCTATCACTATGAACTTTAATTATAAGGGATATTTCTCAATTGTACTTCTGGCAGTAGTTGATTCAGATTACAGATTTGTATATATTGATATCGGTTCATACGGTAAAGACTGCAACTCCGCAATTTTTCAACGTACAAACTTCTATCAACTACTCACTGAAGGCAGGTTGAGTATACCTCCACCTGTTCCACTGCACTCATCTCAAAATAACAGAATGCCACATGTTATACTAGGTGATGAAGCTTTCCAGCTCACTGAACATTTATTACGTCCTTTTGGCGGTAACCATTTAGATGTGAAAAAACGTATTTATAACTATAGACATTGTCGTGCACGAAGATACGTTGAATGTGCATTTGGCATTATGGCCAATAAATGGCGAATATTTCATCGCCCTCTAAATGTAAACAAAAAACTTAGCAAAACAATAGTTAAGGCATGCGTCGTTTTGCATAATATTGTACGTGAAAAAGATGGCTACAGAGGTGAGGATATGTTCATGTCAATTATGCACGATGGGCTGACTGATGTACCAAGGGTAGGAAGTGTACCGCATGGTGGGCGTATCGCTAATGACATAAGAAATAATTTTGCTGAATACTTTGTAAGCCCAGAAGGCTCCTTACCTTGGCAGATGAATAAAATCTAAACTTTTAATTACTTAATTAAAAACATAAATAATAAACTAACGTGTACTTACTAATTTCGTCTTTGTTTTTCTGGTCCATATCCTCAAAGTTCGGCTCTAAAAAGGCACAAACATCGCGCCATGCATTTCTACGCAAAATTTTATCTTTGGACACTTCCTTGGTTTTATCCCACAAACATTCTTTACTTTCTATAACTTCTATTAATGTATAAATATCGTATTTAAATTTTTTGGCCATTTTTATTACAATGATATATTATGATAATTGATGACAGACAAAATAATAACTGAGCTCGTGTACGGTGCGACGGCGACGGCAGTGTGTGGACAAGTTCATACGTGTTTTGTATTGCCGGCACATCGGCCCGTCAAAATCTCGGGCCACGTTCTAGCGGTCACGCCGATCTACTCGCAATTTCGGCGGCCGGGATGACGGCGCTCGGGTGACGGATGTGCGATGGACACGCGTCATGTTAGTAATTTGTTACTTACGCAGGGGCACTTCCCTTCTGTTGAAGGTCTATGAGAGCTGGAGACTCTTCTCTTCTATTAAGAAAAAGAACACTTCCCTTGTTTTATATTTATTTATTGCTTTGCAGAGCATCGACCAACTCGGCCATCTTGACAAAAGTTACGCTAGGGATGTGGTAGTGAGTGTGTGAACCTTATGAATGATTTAATACAAAAATCGATACTCAACACCACCTCTCGATTTAGTATTTACTAAACTACGTTAATCATGGCAACACTGAGGCCATAAACAAAAACAACTTTGACAATTGACAGCAAATAAATACAACTTGTCAACATAACCTAAGAATTGAACAATTTTTCACAAAAATAATCAAATTTTGTGCTACACAAAGGTTTCGTCATAATATCTGCAATATTTTCATTTGTTGACACATATTTTACGGTAAGTAACTGTTTGTTTACAATATCTTTAATAAAATGCACTCTAATGTCTATGTGTTTGGATCTTTTAGTGTTTTCGTAATTGTTTATCATCTTTAAAGCACTTTGATTGTCCACTTGTAGTAACACATTACAGTCGTTTTGAAAAACTAACACTAGTCCACGCACAAATATCAAATCACTTGCACACATTGAAGCAGCAACATATTCAGCTTCGGAGCTTGACAATGCAACACACTGTTGTTTCTTAGAACACGATGATATCAAATTGTTTCCATGGTATATTACATAACCACTTATGCTTTTTCTATCTGATTTATCTCCGGCCCAATCTGAATCTGTATATGCTATAATGTTATTGTATTTCTCTTTGTTTCCTTTGTATAATGCTTTATCTTTTGTTCCTTGCAGATAACGAAGAATACGCTTGGCAGCAGTCCACAGTTGATCTGTTGGTTTATCAAGATAGCGACTCAAGTAACTCGTGGAAAAGGTTATATCCGGTCTACTAATCATTGACAAATAATTTAAACTTCCTATAATCTCTCTATAGGGTGCGCCAATCTTCTCTGCCTTATCATCAGCTTGGAATGTGCTTTCCATTGGAGTCTTTGAAGATTTACATGTGCTCATATTGTAATACTGCAATAATCTATTAATAAACTTAGTTTGAGATATTTCTAAAGTGTTTTCATTCCTTGTTATATCTATACCTAAAAAACTTGTAACTTTACCAAGATCTTTTGCTTCAAATTCTTGTTTCAAACATTTAATTACATATTCTATCTAGGTCGGTCTGTCCAGTCAGTAGTATATCATCAACAAATACGATTGACCATATGTTCATGCCTTTATATAAACATACATCATATGCTGATCTTTCCATTTGTAACTTTTCTTTGTAGAAACTATTTAGAGTACTGTTCCAAACTTTCGGTGATTCTTTCAGACCATACAAGGCCTTTTTTAGCTTTAATACATTTCTATCAGTTTTCATTTTTACTCCTTTTGGTGGTTCTATATACACATCGGTTTTAAGAGTACCATTTAGGAAAGCTGAAGGTATATCAAGTTGTCTCAGCTCCCAGTTGTTTATTGCAGCTTGGGATAAGAACAGTCTTATTGACGTCATCTTTGCTACTGGCGAGTATAGGTCCAGATCTTCAATTTCTTGTTGGAGTCCTCTCGCAACAAGTCTAGCTTTCTTTGTACCATCTGATTTTGACTTAAATATCCATTTAGTATCTATCACTTTCTCATTTATTGGTAACTTACTTTCTGTCCATACTTCCATATCTTGTAATGTTTTTATCTCCTTATTTATAGCTTCTATCCAATCTCTATCTTTAATAGCTTCTTCATAGCATGTTGGCACATCTGCGCTCATAGCGTAGGCAAAATCTGTAATGTACTCATTATACCTCTCAGGTTTCTTACTCTGCCGTTTTGGTCTGCCATCTTTTCTAGTTTGTTTTTCACTTGTTGTACTCTCATTATCTAGATTGTTTAGTCCCTGATCTTGCTTCTCTTGAATTATTTTGTTACTGTATGTAGGTTGTATTTTTGTATACTGATTCATTTGTTCATTACCATTATTATCTCTTATTTCTTGATATATAGTTTTATTATCATTATTTTCCTTAATTAAGTTTTCTTTCTCATATCTGATATCTTTCTCGTTAAATTTTACATCTCTTGATACTGTAATCTCCTCTGTTATTGGATCCCATAGTCTATATCCATTATTAGAATAACCAACCATTCGAATTGATTTTGCTCTCTCGGACAACTTGTCTTTTCTGGGTATTGTTACCATCCATCCTTTAGCACCAAACACTCTTAGTTTGTCTAAGGTCATATCTCTTTTATAAACTTGACAGGGTATTTTGAAATGAATAGCCTTCGATGGGCAGCGATTGAGCTGATATGCCGCACACATCACAGCTTCGGTCCACAGGTATTTAGGTAGGTTAGATTCAATTATCATTGTCCTTGCTTTGTCAAAAATGGTGCGATTCATTCTCTCTGCTTTTCCATTTTGCTGAGGACTGTATGGTTGAGTATGTTCAATGTTGATACCTTTTTGTTTACAGAACTGTCTAAACATATTAGAGTTGTACTCACCACCATTGTCACATCTAATTCTTTTTATATAATTATCCTTTTGTCTTTCATACATATTTATATAATCTATTAGTTTTTCACTGGCTTCTGACTTGTTTCTTAGTAAGTATATCACAAAATAGTGGGAATAGTCATCTATCACTGTCATCATGTATCTATATCCTTCTTTTGACTCTGGATTTATAGGTCCTGCTATATCTGTGTGTATAAGCTCTCCAACTCTATTTGATTGTGTCTTTGTTATAGGTAAGAATGGTTTTCTCACTGACTTTCCTTGCATACATGCATCACATACCTTATTAGTTACTGGTAGTTTCATTTTCAATAAGCTCTTCCTGTTTACATGTCCTAGACTTCTATGCCATAATATTCCTTCATCATCCACGGCTGCATTACATAGCTCAGATTCCAATATGATTCCTTCTAATATATAAAGTGGATTTGAATTCTTTGATCTCCACACTTGTCCTTTGTTTTTAATTTGTATACCATACTTGCTAAATAGCACTTGAAGTCCTTTTTGAGACATCTTTTTCACAGATAATAAGTTGTGAGCTATTCCTGGTACTATTATGCATTGAATATTCATTTTTATGCCTTGACTTTTTATGGTAATTTCACCACTTTTCTTAGCTTCCATTATGTTTCCATTTGCCATTTTAATATTTATAGTGTGATCTAGCTCTTTGATATTATGCATACAATTTTCATATTCTTCTTTTATTATGTTTTCCGTTGCACCTGAGTCTATTATGAACTTTATTGTGTTATTAAGATCTGCTAGGTTACATTCCAACTCATTGTTAATAGCTATAACACTCCACTTGTCATTTGTCACATAGTTTGCGCTATGGCCTGTAGCTCGACCTCTCATTCGGCGACCTCTAAAGTTATTTTTCTTACAATTTCTGGCAATATGCCCTTTTTTATGACATCTATAGCATTCCACATTGGCTGTAAAGATTGTTTCAGGTTCTTCTGTGTTGGATGTTACTTTCTTTAGTTCTTCATCTAATAGTCTTGTTTTCACAAAGTCTAGAGTCACCTTCTCCGAGATAGTTTCAATAGCTGTTATGACTGTGTTGTATGATTCTGGTAGTCCCATCAGTAAGTAACATTTTTTGTCTTCTTCATCAACCTTTTTATCTAAGTTTTCTAGTTCTCTTATTAGGGATTCAAATTTGTATAAATATTCTTCCATCTTGTTGTCTCCCAGCTTTAAAGAAAGTAGTTTTCTTCGCAAATGTAACTTGGAGAACACACTCTTTCTTTGAAATACTTCATCTAATTTCTTTAACATATCACCAGCTGTGTTAGAATCTTTAATGATGTCTAAGTATCTATCTGGAATACATTGTACAATCAATGATCGCGCCTTTGCGTCATCTTCCTTGTTTCTTTCTTCAACTGTAATTGTTTTTGTAACTTCGGATAGCTTTCTTTCTTCTAGCAAGCATTGTACACGGAACTTCCAATTTGCGTAGTTTTCATTTGTTAGTTTGGGTAAAATACAAACTCGTGTTTCGGACGCCATTTCTTTTTAACTTTCTAATTCGACTAATATCTCTGTAATCCGCTCTTTTTTTTTGACGTACCTGCGCCCATAACCTGTTGAAGGTCTATGAGAGCTGGAGACTCTTCTCTTCTATTAAGAAAAAGAACACTTCCCTTGTTTTATATTTATTTATTGCTTTGCAGAGCATCGACCAACTCGGCCATCTTGACAAAAGTTACGCTAGGGATGTGGTAGTGAGTGTGTGAACCTTATGAATGATTTAATACAAAAATCGATACTCAACACCTTCTAGATTAAAACAATAGATTGTGAAACCCTTGCATAAGAAGGGCGATACAAATGACATTGATAATTACAGACCCATTATGTTGATTCCAATGTTATCAATACATATTTACACGAATCTTTGGTAAAATCTGCTACTCCATTAGCTAGAGAGTTATGGAATCCGTGTCAAAATACTAGATTGGCTTAGTAAAATATATATATATATATATCAATGCATAGAGATGTCAAGCACGTCTGGCAATTATAATACATCCTGTAAATTCGTTTTTAATCGATTAAATAGTTCTGGGGTACCTCAGACGAGCATTCGCGCTTTCATTGTTATTTTATATATAAGCGATTGAGCGAATGTGAACATAAATACGAGTACGTACTGTATTGAACTTGCATTTGGCACTCAAAATTACGATATACTATTAGGTATGATATGAGGCAATTCAGTGCAGGCAAATAGGGCATTATTTATACAAAAGAAATGTATACGTGCACTAACCAGCTTTACGGCAGACATATTTGCAAAGAGCATTTCAAGAAATAAAACTTATTGCCACTACCTAGTCTGTACATTGGTGGTCGTCTTCGCCTTCTGACGGGCAGTAGTTCGATCCACGTGTTATGCTGCAGTCACGCTGCGATTTTGTAGTCACGTCGTCACTTACGGCGGTGGCGTCTTGAACGTGATTCTATAGAGCACTCATGGCAGGGATGACTGAGTCGCGTCTATAAACTGGTATACACGAATTACTTAATCTCTTAAAACTGCCCGAGCTTTTATGATACGATCCCGTATTTATTACGTTGCTACAACACATTATTGCTCGACTTACGCGGAATTGGAATGAACGTGCGCTTGCGCTCCCATACGCTCTCACTCTGATCTCTCTCGCTCTGATCTCTCTCACTCTGGTCTGTCCGTCTGTCCGTGTGTCACCACCGATTTTCTCAGGAATGGGTAGACCTATCAAGTTAAAATTTATGTCAGATACTGAGGTCTATGGTCCCTATAAGGCAGGGATGCACAGACTTATTAAGACTAGGGGCCACTTGGGCAAATTATGAACTGATGGCGGGCCGCCAGAAGTATAGGTAATTAAAGACAATAAAGAATTGATAAATATGTATTAAAATTGAAAAAGAATTTATTAATTTGAAGCGTGGCACTGCATAGTGCTCACAATCTTTTTTATATTTGACTCAAATTTACTTGTAGCAACACGTAAAACTGCTTTGCTAAACTTTCATTTGCAGGGCGGTTTCGATTTTTTGTTTTATTATTATTTAGTATTGAAAAGGTATGTTCACATATATAGGTAGCCAAATAAGCTGGAACATTTCAGAGCGTTTATGCGCAACTCTTTGTACGTATTTTTATCAATGCAGCGGTAAAAGTTCAGCAAGTCTCCTTCGTTGAATTTGTTGCGTAAATCTTGGTAATTTTTAATGTCGATAATTTCTTACTGCATTGACTCTGGCGTATTTTCAACTGAAATCGTGAAAGGATTGCTGAATATGTCCAACAGAGGTTTCACTTTTTTAAACTCCGAAAATCTGTCTTGAAAAGATTGAATCAAAATATCTAGCTTTTCTACATAACTGAAATTAATCGCAGTTTTATTGAATTTTTCAGCCATTTTCCTATAATTCGTAAAATGATTGTAATTTCCAGAATTCAATTGCGATCTGAAAAGTGTCAGCTTGCATTAAAAGGATGATACATGAGCGTAGAGCTGGGATATCAGTTGATTTTTGCCTTGAAGCCCTGTGTTCAAGACATTCAAATGATTTGTAATGTCAACTAAAAAAGCCAAATCACACAACCAATTAGGATTTTTAAGTTCCGGGACATCCCTTTGCTTTTCCGCCAGAAATATTCGAATTTCTTCTATTAAATTTAGAAATCGTTTCAGTGTCAATCCACGACTTAGCCACCTTACTTCTGTATAATACAGTAAATCTCCATATTCGCTTTCGATGTCATCAAGGAATTGTTTGAATTGCCTGTGATTGAGTCCTCGTGATTTTATGAAATTTACAGTCGAAACTACCACTTTCATGATATTTTGAAATTCAATTTTTTTAGAACAGAGGGCTTCTTGGTGTATAATGCAATGAAACTGCATGAGATCTTCAACGTTTATGTTTTTTTCTTGCAGATGCTTTTTCAGCAAAGTAACTAGCCCAGAATTAACACCAATCATCGAAGGAGAACCATCAGTCGCAACTCCCGATAATTTTGATAAGTCCAAATTAGTTTTTGAACACTCATCCAAAAGTACATTAAGTATATCAACTCCTCTGGTTTGACCTTTCAATGAACACATTCCTAATAACTCTTCTAAGACTTCAAAATCTTGAGTAACACCTCGTATGAATATGTGAAGTTGAGCTGTGGAACTAATATCAGTGGATTCGTCGAGTGCTAACGAAAAAAATTCAATGATCTTAGTTTTTTCATTTAATTGTTCCGCAATATTACCTGACAAAGACATAATTCGTCTTTGGATAGTCATACGATTCAGTTGAATTTTCTCAAACTTTTTTGTTGCTTCTGGGCACATTTTCTTAGCGGCAATTTCTATGCATTCTTTTACAAAATCTCCATCATTGAAGGGGCGACTTTGCTTTGCTATCATTCGAGAAATTTCATAACTAACTTCTGTAGCTGTTTCTGAATCTTGAATGGATTTTGTAAACATAGCTTGCTGACCAATAAGCTCCCGTTTTAGAGACAACATTTTTTGCTTTCTTAATTCGCCTGTAAACTTGGTAAAAGTAGGATGCTGCGTTTCATAGTGCCTTATTACATTATATTCCTTTGCAATCGCAACAGAATTCTTGCAAATTAAACAAACGACTTTGTTATCCTATTAACCTTACGTTTTTTACTAGGTCCTGGCTTGTCCATGTTGCATTCTAATCTTGGCTAGGATTAACAGAGCACCTAAAAACAATTACAGTACCTACTTAAATTACCCATCCTTTTTCAAATTACCAAAAATAATTGATTAAATAGGTAGGGAAACACTTATTAATAACAGAGTTATACTTACGATTTCACAACACAATTATACACGGCACTTGACGGGAAATCTACGTTGAATGTGGATCAAAATATATGACACCGGCTAGTCGAGTTAAAATCTACACTAGAACTATTGACACTTCACTCAAATTAAAACCGAACTGTCGGTCGCTGCGGTTAGCGTGGCTATTATACCGCGGGTATAGAGTCGAAAACTGTCTGGAGAAATCTCGAAACCGACTCTGGAAGCTTCGTATCAATCGGGAAATAGAAATCAATATTTTTCGAATGTACGAGAGTATTATTTTTGCTGTCGGCGGGCCACCAGGGCCGATGCTATAAGGTGTATAAAAATCAAGGTCCTGAGTCATCACGATGAAAAGATATGGGCAAATTTCGATTTTCGCGAAAACTTGTAAGTACCAAAATTTACCTTAACTTTCAACTTTTTTTATTTTTCAGAATTTTTTCTTTACTTGTGCTATAAGACCTTCCTTTTTACCAAAATTGACAATTCTAGGTCAACCGGAAGTACCCTATAGGTTTTGGGTCGAAAACCTATATGGTAGTTCCCGTTGACCTAGAATCACGAAATTTGGCTAAAAGAAACGTCTTACAGCACAAGATTTTCGCGAAAATTTGTAAGTACCAACGTACTTACAAATTTTCGCGAAAATCTACATAAAATCTGGGTAGGTACGGAACCCTCGACGCACGAGTTCGACTCGTACCTGACCGTTTTTTTTTACGTCATGTACCACTCTCACAAGCTTTACCACCGCTAATGATAAATAAAGTGATTTCTGTGTCAAATATAGCATTATTAACTCATCACCACACGTGTGGAAACATAATAATCCCTATTCCAATTGCTAGTACTTGACGATAAACATGGCCATTGTGAACTCTTCCCTGATTTAACGTGAGCGCTGTCAGAGTCAGGGATGAGGGGCGTGCACGCTTTGGGGACTTTAGATATTTATAGATTAACGTCGTTGGATATTGTGTATATCGTAGTGTATTTTATTGTGATCTGCATATCTGTAATTTGTCTTGTTATATGTTTTATATTATTGTTATATGTTATTAATGTTGTGATGTATGTATACAATGTGTACTACATGTGTTATTAATGATCCGCAACAGGGTTTACGCATAGCATCATTTTGGGCCCAATTGAAAACCAGCGTCAGGCTTCCATCTGACATAAGGCTGAATTGGGTCCGTTTTTGACATCGTTGGTAATCCAAGTTGCAATTGTTCAAAATGTATTATTGCCAAAATAAACGATTTTTCTTTCTTTCTTTCTTTCTATAAAATATTCGTGCCTTGCTAACCATGAATGATAAAAAAAACAGATAAGAAAACATCATATTGCCATTTTCTTAGTATTCCGATTAGATGCAGATGGATTAAGTCTGAATTCCAACAATATTCTTGTATATTTTTGCACACACACTTAAAACATCTGAGAATAATGAATTTGTAAATGATAAAAAAAAAACTTATTTAAATATTCACAAATATTGTAGCATAAGATGGTATGTATGTAAATAATTATTGATAATTTTCAGTGTTGTCACAGCTAATGATTAATGCTAATATTGGGACCTAATAGCATTCCAATGTGACATTATATATATTTCTCCCTGCCCTTTTTAAATTGTTGGATATTCATCCGTCTAGTTCTATGTTTGGGCAACTTGTTATAAGTAAATAGTCATTTATTTATTAACGCTGCACTAAGAAATGTACTATGGTTAATGCATTTAAGTAAGTAATAAAAAAAAAAGTAAGTAATGCTTAAGGTATTCTCTGCTATAGCCCGGCAATCTCGTGCGCGACCGTCCCGCGGGGTGACAAACAGTGGCGGGGGCGAGGTAGCGCGTCTTTCTAGCACACGGCTACACACGAAGAGAAGTGTGCCAGGATAAATCTTGCGATAAGTTGTACTTACTTGTGACGTAATTTAGCAGTAAATAAAAAGATAGAATTACTTTTATTGTTTATATTTTTTTATTATGCTTGAGGACAAATTATTAAGAAAACTAAAATTATGATAGATTGTTTTATTATAAATCAATTTCCATATCACTTTCATGTTCACTCTCTGTTTGATCTTCTTCATCACTTTCGTCGTCATCATCATCGTCGTTTTCATTCAGTTGAATTATGAATCTAAAAAGATAAAAATGTACTATAGAAATAACAAACAACTTCACATACAATGACCTGATTCCGAGAATTATAGCTTGAGCACTCTGCCCAGTTAAAGCAATAATAATCGATTATGTTAATAAATAATAACGTACCTGTCCATTTCATCGTCACATACTCTATCTGAATTATAATATTCGTCCTCGTTTTTTATGACGTGATTATCACAATTGCGCCACTGTTCAACCGAATAATTGGAAAAAAGCTATTCTAAAGCTTTTAACTTTTTATCCAAGTTCGAATCAATGGAAGTCCTTGCGAGCTCGCCTTTTACGTACCCCCACACGAGTTCAATTGGATTTAAATCCGGATGGTATGGGGGTAAGCGAAGCACGATATGTCCATTTTCCTTTAATATTTCACTGTTTCTCCGTGTTTTGCTCATTAATCATTTTCATTAGATCACATTTACGCATAGCGCTATCATACTGAACAACTCGCCGTTCTAACCACTGCTGCATTTCGCTTTTGAGGGTACTCATTATAGGTTTCTTACCGATCTGAGTGCTATGGTAAGCGGCGTTGTCCATTACAATAACAGAATTCGGAGGAATGTTTGGTAACAGTTTTTCATCGATCCACTTTCGAAAATTTGTGGCATTCATGTCTCCATGATAATCACCGGTCTTGGAATGCGATTTGAACATCAATAAAGCATTAGGTATAAAGCCATTGCGACTGCCAGCGTGTACAATTACAATACGAGGTCCTTTAGCGATGTTTTGCATAGCCCCGCGTTCTGTATCACACTGTCAGCATTTTTGTGTTACGTGATTTTTATTCACGTAGGTTTCATCTAGGAAAATTATTGACTTACCCTCTCGGCGGTATTTTTTAATGTCTCTGATGTAATGCCACCGCAGGCGCATTATGTCGTGACGTTCAATTAATAGTTTCCTCTTTGACTGGCATGTTAAATATTTGAAACCAAGCCTACGTATTGTCCGTCTCAAGTATTCACGTGAGCAATGAAGTATATTGTCTTGTTTCCATGCCGCATTCAACTTTTTCAACGACGCGATACATTTTTTGACAGTATACCATTGTGTAATTTTTCTTCTCTTCTTCTTTTTTTAGGAAAACGGTTTTTCCGTGGTGATTTGAAAGTCGCTGTGCTGCCTTGTGCTTCCATGATTCTAGCTTCTTTTATAATTTTTTTAACGCTGGTTTCAGACAAACTTGTGGCTTCAGCAACAGTTTTTGCTAAATTAATGTCGTTTGCGTATTCGGCCGATGTTCGGTCATTTTTTCGCCTTTCAAAAAATTGGTACACTTTATGTACAACTTCCTTAAGTTGTCTTGAGATAGCCTTACTCATCCTGAGATCTTAATCTCGTGTGCGTAGAACTCTAAGTAGTACGGAATATCAAGCACGTGTTGCCGCTTCGACTGCGTGGCCGAGACTGCCGTATTTGACGCGCAGAAGCACGCGTTTCCCTTCCCCGCTACACCACCCGCTACCCGCTGACATCTTGAGTACCTCGTCCCCGCCACCGTCTGTCACCCCGCAGGACGGTCGCGCACGACATTGATGGACTATAGTCTACCTTAGGGTGGTGTAGAAAGTGCACAACACTAAAATAAAAGGTGGGAGCCTTTTATTTTAGTGTTTTTATTAAAACAAAAAGAAAAGAGACAGCTAAGAAATATATATACACTAACTACTAAAAGCATTGATCTAATGATGAAGTTTATTGTCTCAAAAGTAAGCTATTTGGAGATACTACCTCCACTCCTTTTTTTTAACGTATTTACAAAAGTAGCACCTTGGTAATATATGGTGGAACAAAGTTATATTAAATCATATCTTAAGGGTAATTCTACTAAAGTCGTCACAAAATAAGAAGCCCGTTTTGATGTTTCTCATTTGACATGCCGCGATAACTTTGTATGAACGTCTATGTAAGAAATTGAAAAATCAAATTCATAATCCTATTTAATTACTATGTTACCCATACACTATCACAACGCGTATCATAAATAAGCATAAAGTTTAACTTTATATTGAAAAAATGCACTCAAAAACACGAATTAATCGTTGATTAATATTCCGACAGGACTTTACTACAATGTCATATCTTTGGGTTGGTTGCCGTAGTGTTGTAACCGTTAAAAAGCTGTTTTATGGCCGAATAAAATAGAGTTTCTGAAATCGTTTACAAAAATTACATTAAAAAAAGAGATAAATGTGTAATTAGTGTATTGTTTAATATTTAAACATATAAAAACAAAATCTGATCATATATAGTTTAGGCTTTATTTTGATATTTAATATGAATATTTTGATATTATACTAAATGATTTGGTTAAAAAACCCGGAGTGGACTCCGGGTTTTTTAACCAAATAATTTCATCATGATATTGAAAATAATAATTCATCCTCATTTTTCTGTCTCAAACGTCATGTCTCATTTTGCAACAGTCACATTTGACAACAGTCCTTAAAAGTCAGTCTATAAAAGAATTATCAAAGCCGTACATAATTTGTTTCCCTTCTCTATGTACCTATAGAATGGTTTGTCTATGACCAAGCGGCACGTGATCCATGCGCGTACCGCGTACTGATACACTTCAACATGGTCACAAATTAATAAGAACGCCGCCGTACCATTGTCAGTACAGTGCTATTGAATTAATCTGGGCTCAGGTCAAAGGATACGCAGCACGTCATAATACAAAGCCACCATTCTCCACTAAGAATATGACATTTTTAAAAGAAGCTTGTGATAAAATAACTAAAGAAGATTGGGCAAAAGTGGTAGAAAAGACGCGAAAAATAATAAAGGAAGATTATGATAGAGACTGAGGTGTGTTAAAATAAAAACGCGGGTTGACAGTACGACCGTTTATTCGGGAATGGCGAGTGCGGTGGCGGCTAGGCGATCGACGCCCGCACATAAGTATATATATATACGAGTATAATACATCACATACCTCTACCCTTAATTACTCGGGCACTTTTTATTGTAAATAAAATACATGAAATAATCTATACAATAATAAACTTAACAAATACACTTAACTCTACATAATAACCCTATCTATATACAACTTTTCTTTTCACAAACATAAGATGTACAAAATCTTTGTTCGACATTTAACTACAATTATAAATAATAGATGCCAGCAAACATATTAGACTTTGTAACGGGGTGGATTATTTATTCGACATTGTCGCACCGGACGAGGCTGGGGCGAAACAGGGAGGGTCGAGCGAGGGAGCGGCGCCGGTGCTGCGTATACTTCTCCCTCCATGCAATCCTGGAACTGGTCCGCCGTTTCAATGTTTCTAATTGCGGGCGATATCTCTCTATTCGGACTAAAAGATATCCGGTGCCGCGCAATATCGTCGGTATCGGTACCCGGCTCCAGAGGACTGGAAGGACAGATTAGTGAACTACGTATCCGTTGCTTAAGCTGATCAATATGCTTGTGCGACTGCCTACCCAACTCATCGATTACCCTATAGTCGGAAGTTCCTATCTTTTCTGTGACTTTTCCTTTTTTTTTTTTTTTTCCGTGCTGAAATCCCCTCGGATACCACCTATCGGTGGCATGTCGGACTCGAACCGACTAAAACCGCACGCCGTCTCGGGTAGTAATAGCCGGGGAACCAGGTATACCCTAGAAAGGAAGTCCCTGGTACCCCGACATACCTCGGGTCATCTACAGACGAGTAGACGACCCCCCCCCCCGTGTGGGAACCCCATGTTCCCGGTGCTCCCTGGAAGCGAGCGCGCTTCGCAACGCGCTTGCCGCCATCCCGGCCTGCTTCTGCTAGGGTGACAGATGGCCTCACCTGTCACCCCCAGGCCTGCGCTTATGGAGGACGGAGGTCGTTCTGCGACCTCCGGCGCCTGAGTCGCCTGCGGTACCTGGCCCGTTCCCGGGCCTGGCGGGCCGGGAGAGTTCTAAACCTCTCCCGGTCCCGCTCCGCCGTCTCCTTCGCGAGCATAACTTGCGCGCAGAAGGAGACGGCAGAGTTCCACGCACTCTCGCTCCGCACGATAGCCGCAATCAGGCTATCGAGCGAGAGAACTCCCACTCCGATGGCCGCCACGAGGTCTCGCCTCTGCTCAACCCACGCCGGGCACTCTGCCAGCGTGTGGAGAGCCGTGTCCACGGTCTGGCCATCGCAGTGGTGGCACTCAGGCGTTGGCTCCTTGCGGATCAGACACAGGTGATCTCCGAAACATCCCTTCCCAGTGATCACCTGCGTCAATCGGTATGAGAGGGTCCCGTGACGCCTCTCAAGCCAATCCTCCATAACGGGTCTTACCGCCGCGATGACGGCGTGCCCGGCGCTCGGTTGCCCTAGTCGTTCCTCAAAGGAGATCGTGCGGTACCCCCTTATGATCCTGATGGCCAGCACTCGCTGCGGTCGCCGCAGTATCGCGACGTTGCTGGCCTTCAGGGCCCCCGCTCTGTGACTTTCCCTGACCTCCATTTATCTTGCCTATTATAATGGCGCAGCCACACCTCGTCTCCTGGGTTAAGAGTACGGTTTCCTTTAGCACCCTCTTCCTGTTGTCGTTTTTGAGCTTTGGCCACCCTAGCACCCCTATCGGGTCTTAACGCATCGAGTTTAGTTCGCAACCTACGACCAAACATTAACAGCGCTGGTTTTTCTCCCGTTGTACAGTGTTCAGTATTTCGGTAATGCAGCAAGAACGTATTTAAAGATGCAGTTATATCTACGTTTTCTCTCATAGCTTTCTTAATATATTTTTTAACTGTTTTCACCGCATTTTCAGCAGCGCCGTTAGATGCCGGGTGGTATGGTGCTGAAAATAAGTGTTCGACCCCTACTGATTTTAAAAATCGTGAAAAATCGTTGCTACTAAACAGCGGGCCATTATCCGAAACAAATTGTTTCGGATAATGGCTAATCGGATAATTGGTAAACCAAAACGGGCAAAAAGGTCATTCAAAAACGTAATGGTATGACTAGCTGCAGTACTAGCGACTTGAGTCACCTCTAACCATTTTGTTCTTGCGTCTACTAAGATTAAAAATATTTTTCCCAATACGGGGCCCAAGAAATCTACATGTACCCTGGACCATGGTTTGTCTGGCCAAGGCCACGGGCAGGGCGCGTGCCGCGGTGGTGAGTCACTCTCCGCTGCACATACGCGACAGCTGCGACACATTGCCTCGATGGCTTCGTCCACACCAGGCCACCACACATAACTTCTAGCGAATGACTTTGTTTTAACTATGCCCATATGACTCTCATGGAGTTCTGCTAAAATTTTTGTTCTACATCCCTCGGGTACTACTACCCTGTGGCCCCATAAAACACAGCCCAATTCTTCATATAGTTCATTTTTGCGATTAAAGAAAGGCTGGAGGGTTTTAATTTCGTTCTCCATAGGCCACTCAGTGCGTATATAACTAAGAATTCGACTTAATAACGGGTCACGACTAGTTTGCCGTTTTGCATCCTCATAGTTTAATAGCATCGCGTTATGGGCAAAATGTAAATAAGTCTGTTCGGGTATTGGTATTGGTATTGGTTGTGGGCTTCGGTTTCCGCATTTAGACTCAGAGTGGTCCTTTATGCGTCGAGGATTGGTTGACTAGGTGAGCCAGCCAAGCTCCTTCCAGAAGTGCAGAAGCCTCCTGGGGCGTTCACAGGCTTCTAGGAGCGACTTTGTATCAGGAATGATACTTGCCCGTTGTGTGGCCACTCCCTCGCATTCCAGGACTACGTGGACGGCCGTTTCTTCAGCTTCCAGACATCCCCTGCACAGGGGACTGTCCGTCGCATTGATTATGAATAGTTGTCGGTTCAGGGCTAGATGTCCTGTAATAGTTCCGACAACCGTTCTGATTTCCGGTCTGCTAAGACTGATCAGTCTGCAGGTGAGTCGTGGTGTGACTTGATTCAGCACCAGTTTGGACTGTCTGCAGCCGGGTGAGTTTTTCCACCTCCGGTTGTGTGCTTCACAGGTCCGTTGCCTTTTTTTTTTTTTTTTTTTTTTTACGTGTGGAAATCCCCTCGGACCGTCACCCCGCCGGGGCTCTCGTTCGGCGGGGCGGTGTGTCGGACTCGAACCGACTAAAACCACACGGTGTGCCCTCTTTGCGCTTCCAGTTTAGGAAGGGTCCGGGTACCTATCTCCTTCTGGACGCCTCCCAGCGCCGGCCCGCTCCTGGCGCGGGCTCCGTCTCAGTGGACCCTCTCTTTAGGCGGCGTCCGGCACACGCGGACGCCGCCCCCTCGCGGCTGGCCAACTAATGCGGGTGGAGGGGAGAACCCATCCCGTCCACCCGCGGCCACACTCAGGGCGGCATGAGGCGCAGGTGAGCGCGCCT